TTAAAAATTACCTTTTTGAATTATTTGATAAAAATAACTATTATTTACCGTAAATCTTATAATGGTTGTTATATTATATAAATATATAAAAGTCATAATCTCTAACAAAAGAAGAAATAATCTAATTTGAATAGTCTATATTTTCGATATGTGGACAATTAAAAAATTAATATGTATTTAAAATTAACTGCATTTAAAATTTAAAATTTAATGATAAAATAAATTTAATTTAAAATATCTTGATTCTATTATTATAAAACATATTCAATGATTCTTATTAATATTTCTTTAAATGATTAATTAATTAAAATAAATTAAGAATCTAATCAAGAGTAATAATACCTTAAATCCAGAGTAATTTATACTTGATAATTAGCATAGTCAAGTATAATAATGGTAATGAAATTCATTTTATTTGAAATATTCCAAAATTAATTTTACTTGATTTGATCATTTATTAATCATTTTAAAATTAATATATATACATATCAATGTATATACATGGCTTAAAAGGTGGAGTAAATAAATAGGTCACAGATTTCAAAATTGGATAGTGAATTTTTTATTTTTACACAAATGCAATGTAAAAGTTGAATATTATAATTGAAAATTAAAAATACAATGTCAGCAATTAAAGTTTTATTATATTTAATATAAATTTAATTGAAAGTGATTTAAGATAAATAATAATAGAAAATAAATGTAATTAATTTAATTTTTTAAAATAATTTAAATATAATTAATGCATAAAAATATTTTAAAATTTAAATAAAATCAAATAAAATTAATTAAATACAAAATACATGTCAATTGTTTAAAATCGTACACATATCAAAATAATAGATCATCCACTGTCATAATGTCTAGATCCGATGACCTATCGCTAGACATTGACTTGAGAAGTCGTCACAAATCTTTTTTAACTAGGTGTGATTTGTCATCTTATGAATATATCCTTTTAAGGAGTTCCTAAGCTTGATGAAAGATCTCTAAAAAAATAGGTTCGAGTTTACTAATCAGAACATGATTTGAGAGTACGATTACATGTGAGGAAGGTTATAACATCCTCACAATGTACATCAGAAGATGGTACCGACTTAATTTTCGTGTTATCCATTAAGCCTTAAAAATCTTACCAAGTAATTAATTATCAAAAATTATTCTTAATTGACTCTAATACTTTTGGTAAAAAATTAAAAAAATTTTCTTACATCAAAAGTATACAATAAAACTACTGTTTCCTTTGCAGAGGCTCCGTCGTCGGATTATTTAACATTTAAAAATTTTTCAAAGAAATAAAGGAAAAAAAATAATGATTCGACTTTTAATATAAATCATTTTCTTTTCATTTTATAAAAAAAAAACTCATTGCTTTCGTATAAGAAAAATTGATACTTTCAACTTTTTCTTAAAATGTTTTACTTGATAATTTTTATTTTTAAGGAAAATTGGTACTTCCAATTTTTCCTTAAAATGTTTTTTTTTTAATTTTTATTTTTAAGGAAAATTGATACTTTTAATTTTTCTTCAAAATATTTTTTGAAAATTTTTATTTTAGAAATTTTATTTTCAAGAAAAATTGATACTTTCAACTTTTCCTTAAAATATTTTTTAGAAAAAAAATTTTAAAAGAAAAATTGATATTTTCAATTTTTCCTCAAAAATATTTTTTAAAAATTTTAGAAAAATTGATACTTTCAACTTTTTCTCAAAAATATTTATTTTTAAAAAAAAATTATTCTAGCAAAATTATTGACAAAAAAAATAAAGATAAAAATTAAAAATTAAGGAATACCAAATAATTCTGATTTAATTAATAATAATAATAATAAATAAATAAATAAATAAATAAATAAATAAATAAAAAACCTGTAGCATGGCTCGACTTGACGTTGGAAACAGCTCGGCTTGAGGCACAAACGATGGCTCAAAATGCGACTCAAGCAGAATTGCTCGGCTCGGCTCGGCTCCACAAAGGGTTTAGCTAGGAGACGGGTCAACAGTTCGAGTTGCACTCGGATCGGGTCATCCGAATAAAAAACACGCAGATCTTGGGTATTTTTAAACACAAAAACAATGTCGTTTTGAGAATGATATATAAGGCTAAAACCGATTCTTTTCAATAGATGCCTCTTCCTTCTTCTTTTCTTTTCTCTCCTTCTTTCTTTAACAGAACCTAGTTTTCGGTTGAATGTTTAGTTGAAAACTGAAAAATTACGTCGAAAATTGAAAAATCTGGCTAGAAAACTCAAGTTTGGTCAGAAAGCTTGTCGGAATCTGGATTTTTCCAAAAAATTTTCAAAAAAAAAATCACCCAAAATTCTGAAAAATTCCAAAAAAAATCCTAAAATTGCCTCTAACTCACCAGAACCCTTTTTTTCTTTTGCCTCTATTTTCTTCTCTTTTGTGTGTTCTTTGCTTCTGATGAATAGATATTTATAAAATCGATCTCAAAATCTCTGATTAATTCGGATTCTCTTTCTGATTGGATTTCTGGATTATCAGACTAATCGTTGAATTTATCTTACATTAGTTTAATCCAACTATGATTTCGTACTGCCCTTATTCACGACATAATTCATTCATATTTTTATTATTTTAATTATTCTGATTATTATCTCCTAACCAATTAATTTAAGAAAAAAAAAAGTAAGGTGGGAAAGAAAAAAAAATCTAGAAGAAAAACAAATCAATAAATCAATAAATTACATAAAAAATAATAATAACCAATTAAGTCCAAAATTTTGGGTTTGATTGACCCCATTTAGATCAGGCTCAATTGATCCGGATTTGAACCAAATTGGATGTCTATATCCATTTTTTTTTTGTATTTATTTTTTATATATTTATATAAGATAATAGAATTAATGAAAATGTTTATGTACATTTAATAATGGAATTTACAATTACAAATAGCTCCACATCTCATATGTTTTCCCTATGAATTAATGTCCAATAAAGATGGCTGGCTTTTCCGGTTAAAGTTAAAGATTTGGTCTTCTACATACGAGATCAGGCTCCTCAACAGCCACTGCCGCCACCACCACCACCGCAAAACCACCTCCTCCCCTTGTGCTCGTAGTTGTTATGCTTATATCTCCACCTCTGCCAATGCCATGAGACGTGTAACCACCTCGACGAAAGCCATGACCTCCATGATCACCATCTATAGAGCTTCCTCTGTTACCCGATAGACTAATAAGGCAAGCAAAAAGAACAAGCAGACAGGAGCGCAATACAGAAAAAAAAAATAACAGGAACTACCCAAGGTTCCATCCTTTCTTTATTTCTTGTATCTAAGGTGTAAGGATTAATGAACCAGTTCTCTGTTCAACTTCATTTATAGTTAGAATTAGGACTATGAATCTAATCTTTCGAAACAAAAATTAATCAAGATAACGTGTTGGACCATTCAAAAAAAAAATTAACAGATAACTGCTAGGAACTTTTGTTTAAGAATACTAATGAATTACAATTCTAAAATAAATTAATTACATGTTAAAGTATTTATTTAATTCACTCGAGCTAGCACTTAATTATTAAATTAAATATATATAGTTCAATATATACATAACAATCGACGAAGGAATCATTTGATAATGTGATAAAAAAAAACTCATATCATATCATAATATTATTTTATAATTAGATCCTCAAAATTTTAATCATACAAAAATGCAATATAAGTAATGAAAATTTCTTTCATCATTCTACCAAATGAAATTTAAATCTTTATATTTGTTGAAAAATCATATATGTATGAATAATTTTATTTAGTCCTTTCAAAGTAGATTAGCTATTTTATTTTATATAATTCTTGTGGGTTTTAGGTTTCGTTTTTGCTGTAATTCTCATGATCTTTTAAGCAATCAAGCTGAATTGACTGTACGAGGAGTTGACTAATTCAGCCAAAGTAATGCAATGTTTGACAGTACGATCAATTATTACGAGTATTTTAAGACTTGGTAGAGGGCGCTGAGGCCTTGACGTTCAAGTAATCATCTTAGTAATTTGTTCAATTTAAAATACGGTTGACTTTGCTTCTGTTCTAAATATGCGTCCGCCCCTTGACCTAAACATTGTTAACTTCTTTTTTTTTCGGCTCCACCGTTTTAATCCTTAAGCCCTTAAACCCAAGACTCTGCTTTATCTAAAACCCTAATCTCTTTTCCTATGATGTTTCGATACCTCTTCAAATTAAGTTTCTATGTCGGTTTTCAAACCAGAATTTACTAACAACAACAATTACTTATAGATAAGGTCCTTTTTTTTTTTTGAGTTTATATTTTATATATTATCAATATATAAATTTTATAAATTGTCAGTAAATCATATAATGTTATTGCATTAATAAATATATATAAAATTTTTAAATAAATAAACAAAAATTTAACTTTTAAAATTTTATTTATTAATAAAATAAGATAATTTGATTCATCTATTCTTTGATAATGTATTTATATGCATCAAATGTAAATCTTTATTTTTTCTTTATATTTTACTCTTTGTCTATGAGAGACATTCTTGTTAGATAATTCATCTCAAAGGTTGGTATATAATTATATATTCTCGTATTTTTGCCGATATATATTAATATATATTATCTTGGTTATCCATTTATTTAGCTAAGAAAATTATGTAATTAAATGATTATCAGCTCCTTGCATTTATATTTCAATGGATACATGATCATATACCAATAAGTGTAATTTGTAATTAAAATGTTAAATTCTTAAATTTCAATAATTGAAATTCAATTTTAAAAATCTCAAATACCCAAAAAAAAATCATATACAGTTTCCTTTAATAATAGCTTAGGTAGTTACAAAGCACTATGTATTTACTTACATAACGAATAAATGAAACCGTTAAATTTATTTTCATGCAAGAATTTACAAAATAGCTATGTATTTGTTTTGTTTTCCCTCGCAGTGAACCAAGAAAGCTTTGCTTCTTGCTAGCTAGCCATTTGGCCTTCTAACAAACGTGTTTAGTCTCATTTAACAGCCACCTCCACCGCCACCAGCGCCACCACTGTCACAACTTCCTCCACCGCCACCAAAACCACCACCACCACTATCACAACCTCGTCCACTGCCACCAAAACCACCACCACCGCCAATATCTCCTCCACCGCCACCACTGCCGCCAGCACCTCCACCATCAAAACCTCCGCCTCCCCAACTGCTATATTCTGCATCACCACCACCGTAGTCAGAGCCACCAATATCTATGTTTACATGATCTCCGCCAAAGTCATGAGGCATGTGACCACCTCCACCAAAGTGATGACCACCAGGAGCGCCACCACCAACATTATTTCCTAGGTAACTACATCGACTAAGGCAAGCAAAAAGAAGCATCATACAGAAGAACACTGAGAAAAAAATAAGCGGAATTGCCCAAGGTTCCATCCTTTCTTTGTTTCAAAATGTACTGAAAAGGATTGATTTCTTGATGATGAACAAATTCTCTATTCATCAACTCCTTTTATAGTTTGAAAGGACGTAAGTTGGAATTAATCTCTTATCTAATTATCTTACTTTTTAAACAAAAAAATTCATAAAACGTGTTTGACTATATTGAAAGTTTCAAAAAAAAAAAAAAAGACTATGGAGAATGGAGTAGAATTTATGAGCATCACGTTTAAAGGGTCAAACCTAAATATTTTGCAGTCAAGAACAGTGGTATGTATGAAGCATGGAGGAAGCTAGCTTTCCCATTGTGTTTTATATCCCTGTGGGTTGCTTCTTATAATTTCTCTTTTATATAAAAATTAAAGCAAAATATGCTGAATTGATTGTAGGAGGGCCGTGGTGCTGGGCGGAGCTTGACTGGTTCTGCCAGAATAACACGGTGTTTAATTGGTAGTATATCAATTCGATTAACTTTAAATACGATTGACTTGGAAAAATTAAGCCTCCAGAGTCCTGGAGTTTTTGCCCTTTGACATTTGACCTGTATTCAGTTCAATTAATTGCATTCTGCTTTATCTACAGTCCAATCTCTTCAATTCTATTGTCTTGCTGTGATGTTTTCACCCTTTGAAATGCATGCATCATGCATGTATACTAGGGTTTTCTGATCTAGCATTAATTTTGTGATGTTTTTACCTTTTGAAATGCATGCATCATGCATGTATACTTGGGTTTTCTGATCTAGCATTAATTTCCTTTAATGCACGAAAAAAGTTTCCTACTTTTTCGTACCATAATTGGTTTTTATCTCATCACCATGCCTAAAATATATTGAATATGTAATTAAGATTAAAGGTTTAAAAAGGTCTTTAAATTAGATTTGATAATTTTAAATATAAGAAGGTGATATGATATAAAAATAACATAAAAAAAATTTATATACATATTTTAAAAAATATATATTTGTTATTTATTTGTGTCAAAATGAATTTCGATATAACATAATTGGTGTCTTTTACATATTAATATATCTGAACACATATAAGATATGAAAAATATATTTGGATAAAATGTGTCACACGATTATATGTTTAATACATGACATGACATAAAAAATATGTTTAATTTAATCTTGTCATACAAGTACACATTTAACATGTTTAATAATTTTTTTATATTTATTTTAATTTAATATAAACATATAAATATTATTTTAATTTTTAATTTTATAATTATGATGTTTAATTAGTTATTCAATATCATATAAGGATTATTTTAAATATTTAATTATGATACTCATTTAATAATTATTATAAAATTATTTTTTATATTAATTATATAATATAATATAAATATTAATATGAGTCATATATATTATTATTTTATTTTTTAATATTTAATAGTTCATTATTTTGAATTCGACACTAAAAACTAATAGATATAGTTATGTAATATATATTAAATTTTAAATATATATTAATAACATATTAAATGAGAATCAATTTTTTTTTTATTTTTTTAATATGCAAGTAAATTTTTATATTATTAATATGCCAAGTTTATTAAGTTGTAAATGATGGATAATTTATAATTATTTATTATTTTAGTCTTATTTTTGTATATATTCGTGTTAATCATGTCTATTTGTGTATATTCGTGTTAGTCATGTCTATTCATGTATATCCGTATTATTCATGTTTATTTATATCGTGTTTAAATGAATTAATTGTATATATATTAATCGTATCGTGATACGTATAACATGTATAATAAACATACCATGTTTGTGTTTATGACTTAAATATATTTTATAATTTGTGTCATGTTCGTATAGTAATAATTTATGTTATTACATCTGTTAAACACAATACGAGACATGACATAAAAATACGAATTGTCAAATTTACTTTAAATTATAATTCAATAATTATTTAATTTTTTTAATATTTATTGTAATCCATCAATCCTTTAATTTTTTATTTTCAATTCAATTAAACTCTTAAATTGACGGAATCTAGTCATGTGACAAAATTTAATTAACCAACCTCTAAATTATAGTCAATTAAATTTTTAAAGGAATTTTAGAAAGGAAGAGAGAGAAAATAGATAAAATATTATTTTATTTAATTTTTACATATATTAATTATGTTACGTAATAAATTTTAATTTATTTTATGGATGTTATAAGAAATTTTATTTTAGCCAGTAAAAAAATTAATGAATTAATGAAATTATTTTTTTTACCTAAATAAAGCCTTCACAAAAAAAAAGTTGGAGTTGATTTATTGCAATAAAAAAAATAGGGATTTGGATAATTTTTTAATTATAGTTTAGGAATTTTTTTAACCCTTTAGCCTATAATCAATTTGTATTGCTAGCAAATGCAATTTGATTTTGCCAAACATCCCTTCATGTATTTAGTAAAAAAGGAAAAGTCCCCGGGTAATATTATCTAAAATTCTTGATTTCTTCACGTATATGGCAATATTTCCTTATTTATTGAGCAGATTCATTTGGAAAGTAATCCATGAAATGCGCAAGAAATTAATTGGTGAAAATACTTATCCCAGGTGAAATGTAGTGTTTCTAACTTTATTTTAGTGGATCCTTCCAGACCATGAATGTGTCTCACATAGTCACATTTATTTAATTCTTAATTTTGATTGTTAGTTCATGTGATTGAAAATTTAAAATGTCTTTTCGGCAAGGTATGGTCACAAATTACAACATTATTGCTTTTAATCACCTTGGTTGCATTTCTTTCTTATTTTTACTATGCGTTGCTTGCCATTTTTCCATTAAAAACAAGTCAAATTTGAGTTTGAATCGGAACAGTTTGGTGGATGCTGAAGGAATATCATTCTTCTTCAGCAGACCCCAATTTGTACTGTGTGGACAAAAATCCTCAAAAGGAATTCAGGGTTTGCTCAGACCCAGGCCCGGGCCCCTGGGTCACTTCTGCAACTACAATCATTCTGCCAGGGTGACGCCAGGTTATGCATCTTGAACTTGAAAGGAGAATCGAAAGCAAAAGTTCAAGTTGCAAAGGGCCCGAAGATATCAGATCATCAGCCATCTGCCAGGTGCAGAAACGAAAATTAACGGCCACTGTGTCTCCTAGCATCTTGGAAAGTGAAAATATGGAAATAGCTTCTTTTAATTATGTGATGTCCTGGTCTAGTTAAAACGTCTGAGCCAAACTTTGGCGTGACAGGCATCATGTTTATTTATTTAAAGGCTGGAGTGATCATTCTTCCTGTTTGGGTTAAGATACGGCTTCTATGCAATTCATTTTTGTGTTCCTTTTGTTTAATGGACTAGTTGTATATTCCACTGAGACATGGACAGATCAAATTAAGCATTTTTAGCACCAAGCAGCCTTAGTCATGTAGAGGGAGATTTGGGGTAAAATCTAGAGTCCGATAAGCAGATGTATAGTACATGGCTGTCACCCAGTCTCAGCAATAGTTCATTTTTCTTGTGAAACCGAAGATGACCATCAAAACCGAGGCTAGACTAATATTTCAGACCCCACCCTAGTCCCATTTTCTTAAATAAACATGAAACTTTTTCCGCTTAGGCAAAGAAAGCAAAAAACAGCTTTAACTCCGCTCCTCAAGTTTTCCAAGTTCTAAAGCAAAAGAAACTAAATTCTTCATGTTCTAAAGCAGAAGACGGTTCTGAATAAGAAAAATCATGAGAATACGAAGACCACAAATGAAATTTAAAAAATTCTTAATCCACTGAATTCACAAATTCCATGCAATATATAAACATACCATTCAAAAGATCAACCAAAATCAACTCATGTTCTATGCACCAGACGTTCTTCTCCACCCCCCTAAAACTAATGGAGGTATAAGGGTGCAAAACAAGGAAAAAAAAGGGAAAAAACAAAAAAACAAGGAAGCGCTGTTCAGAAGATGGAAACCACCATCAAACACCAGCACATCCTCCATCGCAAGAACAGCTGCCGCTGCTGCTGTTTATGTCACCATGTTGGCGTGGTTGTGTGCTGAGGCAACAGCACAAGAGACCTACCAATAACATGAAACCCCAAGCTGATGCTAAAGCTTGTGCCCAATTCAGGTAATGCTCCATAGTTTTCTCCCTTTACTCCAACTCTGCTCCTTCCCTTTCCTTCCGCTCATTATCTCACAACTTCACTGCCAAGTTTCTTGTTTCTCATTACAAAGATTTGTAACATTAGTTGGCTGTTTTGTGTACAAAATAATTAAGGATTTTTGTTAGCTGCTTAGACAGGAAAGAGAAATACAGTGATGCACATGGATTAAAAAAAGGCAATATAAAACGGGACAGCCTGTGAATTTAACCAGGGGCAAAAAGGCTTTCCAACTTCTTTTTAAAGCCGCACACATATAGCTTACTTGTATAATATTGATGGTTTTCTTGGTTGTCAATTTGGAAACGGAATTTACGTGCTGCTTCTTCTTTGCTCTCTGCATTGATAATTCTCTCGAAAATAGAAATTTGTATGTATTGCTAGTATAACAGGTATTGCACGCTTTTGGAATTGGAATCATGTTCATTTTTATATTTAATTATGGTATCATTGTAAGGGACAAAAGAGGGATCTGAAAGCAGATAAAAGAGCTTAGTGCACAACTTGCTTTTACAAACCCAACCCTTCTTTACAAGATCAAATCTCTTCGACAAGGCTTAAATTTTTTTTTTTTTAATAATGCAAATACCTATATAAATATTCATTGGCAAAAGTACCTTAAAAAAAAAAAAAGCTCCATCTTTCCTCCACTTCCCACGGAACTGATGATTCAAAACATTGTTCACAAATGGCAAAATATCACGAGTCAACATATCGACCCTAAATTTTTTACATTACCTCCAAAACAGAGTAAAGCAAATGCGAAAAATAATATTTCCAGGCAATGAATTCAAGCAAGTGGCATAATGTGACTCGATTCCATTGTCGCTAGATATGGGGACCAGGTTGGAAAGGTGGGGTAGAAGGGGAAGGCAATTGGAAATTACCAAAAGAAAAAGAAAGTATTGGCCGCTTTTATCGCTTCCAAAGTGAGTACTTGAACGGACAATACCGAGTGTTTAGGCTCAGACACGATTAAAGAGTTTCCAACCACAAAAGTGATCCAAACGTGTTAAAAGGAGACACACCCTTTTTCATGTTATCTAGGTTTGTTATGTATCTCCAATCTCGCATCCAATATAAATTTGAACGATCCATTCACTTGGCCAAAAACGACTTCAATGGCATGGACTATAACCCCATTCGAAACCATAGACAAGAGGAACAATAAACGATAGCCGGAAATGAATGTATACGCGTCAAATCATTCAAAACAAACAAACATTCTTTCTAAACGCAGAGGTTTACACTATCTTAGCATTAAACTCACACTAGGAAACTACTAGAAGTAAATTAACAATCAAGTACAGCTTGCCCCAGAACTATAAGCATTTTTGAGCTAACAGATTGTATGATTGTATAAATTCTGCATTTTTTTTTTGTTTTTTCTTCCTTAATGGAGGGGTATCAATAAAAACATCCTCCAATGTGTCTCCAATATAGACTAAAAAACAAAAACGGTCCGCTTTACAGAAGCAAAGAACGCCCCTTGACCGTTCACACCTTGGTCCTTTTAATGTGGGCAAAAGATTAGCAGCCTTCAGTTCCAATCCAGCCCAAAGAAATTATTTTGTAGAAACATCCAACAAGCAAGCTAGAATGGCAACCTTACAATAATAAGCTGGTTAACGCAGTTTCAATATCATCAGAATCACCTCCGCCTGAAACCAAAGACAACAGTAACAAGCTTCATAAAACTGGAACAACCAACATAACTCTCCCTCATCTTTAAGCCATAACCACCCACATGCCAGAGAGCAGACTATAAATCCAAATATTAAAGAACTTTACATGATTGAAAGATAAACGATTGAAGGTAGAAGTTTATAAGAGAATCTAGCAGAGTTCAGAACTGAATAAAATTAAAAACCCACCGACACACCAAGCAACCATGAAAATAAAATTTTGAACAAGCAGTCCTCCCAAGTCCTACCACGTAGAAGGTTAGAGAGAGTTGTTAAAATTGGAAAGTTGACCCCTCGAATACCTCCATTTCAATTCACATAGGTTATCACAAGAAAGTGTTTTATCAACTAGTTCAACCCTAGAGTACAAAGCATCATTTCAATAGTAAAGTTACCATACTCAGATGGAAATAAAGCACTAAATGATACTTATAGATACTCAGCAACCAGTAACACCATACAGAGACCTAAGGTTTCACATCATCATAAATGTGTGGAGACAAATGAAAGAATTCAGGGGAGAGATCAATGCACTACCGTGCATATCATCACAGTGAAATAAAATGTCCATGATCATGGAATATACAAGCGAAGCATGTAAATATTACAATATTCAAAATTTAATAAAATTAAGAAGGTGAAGTTAATCAACAGCTGAAAACTAGAGTAATAAACAAGAAAACAAGCACTCCCGCTTAAGCAAAGTAAAATCTTAATACAAATAAAAGAAAGAAACCAGAATCCAATATAACATTGGATGCAAATATACTCACATGATATAAACTATGCAAGCTACAGCTCACTGTAATTGCGCCAAACAGCACGAAATTCCTCACGGAATGTGTTAAGACGAGCCTTCAGGTTTGGTGTTCTAAAACTTGCATGGAGGATGGTGGCTGAGAGAGAGAGAGAGAGAGAGAGAGAGTTAGATTAAAAAGTAGCATGCTTAAGAGGGAAATAAGAAAAAAGACATGAGGTGACTTACCAAGAAGTGCAATGGCAAGTGCCCATAGCACAGTCAAGAGATCACAGGACAAATACCAAAGGATGAAACTCACTGCAACAAGAATGGTAAAATTAGTTGCTTCCTATACTACATTGGAAGACAAACTTATTAATTCTGCTTTATTGAGAAAGTAAACATTTCTTAAACATATTAATACCAGAAGAGACTATGAAGACAAACACCCATCGAGGCCAACCACATATGTGAATTGCTCTTTTAGCTGACGGACGTCCACGAATAACAGGTCTGGTAATAATGAAACAGTTAATAACCAAATCAAGATTTTATACTCTGCAGACACAAATATAGGTAGATCAAACTCACGTAAGGGGAGGCCTCATCTTAGCTGCTAAATGTGGAGAGAATTGCCTCACAGTTCTTGTCACCTTCTCACTAAAAGTACCAGCAAAGCTGCACAGAAAACACTCATTAGCAACCACGGATGAGAAAACTAAATCTAACCATATGGTAACATTCAATATTCAGACGCAGCACTCACCCTTCCATCTCCAAGGTAACATTCAAAATAGCAACCTCAGTGACTAGAATTCAGAACACTAAACAAAGAGGAGGTGTAACATAGCTTACCTATCATTCAGAAAAGCGATGCTAAGCGCTGTTAAAATCGCAGCTAAAATAGCAACCGGTCTCCTCAGGAATCCCAACCCTGCAAAATCACAAAAATTAGAAATAAAACAAGAATGTAGTAATAATGAATTTGAGCCCCACTGCAGGTTTTGTCTACTTACCAAGAATAAGAACAATCAGAATGAAATAATTGGTTCGATAGCTGTACCCAAAAAACAAAGCGTAAAATTCAAGTAAGAAACTTAAAGAAATGATATTTTTTATCTAGATTTTGCAAAAGCACATTCACGATCAAGATTCAAGAATTCTCTTCTTTTTCGAAGATCTTCTTTTCATTTCTCTTCTCCGTCTCGGCAAACAAACAGCGGCGATCAAAATTCAAACTGATTCGAATTAAAAAAAAAATTAAAAACATTAAAGAAAATTTACTAGTAGAGATTGCATTTAAGGCGGCTGTTCCATTTGGCATATGATCGAGGAACGGTGAAACGGGAGAAGAATTCGGAGAGTGGTCTAGGCGGTGATGACCAGTCAACTTCACGAAGAGCGTCGATCAGATCCTCTGCGGTTACGTTTCCCCAATCCATTGGATTTGATTATGTTCGATCCTCTACTTGTTTTTCACTCTATGGAACCCTAGAAATAAAAAATTAAAAAAAAAAGCGGCGAAAAAGGAGTACTTTTACGAGGAAGTGAAACTCTGAGGGCAATGAAATGGCGGTTGTTGTGAGGGAGGGCAGGGGATGGGGAGTTCTTTACGGGAAAAGCTCTATAGATTGTTTGGAAGCGTTTTTGTGGAGAGTTCTTTTGGAGAGATTTTTTTGGTCGAATAATGAAAAATGGTGAATCGTGAAGGAATTAAGAAGGTTCAGTGATTATGTTATGCGAATAAAAATGAAAAATGAACACGTCTGAATCCGGTTTCGAACCAGGGATCTCTAATGTTTGAGACCATACCACACAGACGCTCCGACATTGGCGAGTTAGCATAGGGCCTCCATTATTTTAACTGGAGTTTCAGTGGGGCGCGATTAGGCCTACCTATTGCCCAATGGCACTATTATCAATGATGTTCCGACACCATCATTAACGGTGTGAATGACTCTCTGGCCACGCTGAAACCTAAATTTTCATTGAAGAAAAAAGTTCAATGGACCACTGGTGTTTGAATTGAACTCTTTTAGCCCGGAGCGAGTATATGTATCGTTCTTTTTTTTTCCCTACGACCCTTTTTTTTTTAACTTTCTTATAAATAAAATTATTTAAATACCAACGTTTTTAAATATTTATCATTTTTAAAAAATCATAATATTTTTTGAAAATACATTTTTGAGTACGGAAAAGTAAACTTTTATGAAAAATTATAAAAAAATTTCTATTAAAATTATTTATAAATTAGTATAATAAAAAAGTTATTATTAAAAAAATCATAAATTTTAAAATTAATAAAAAAATTTATTTTTACTATTATATTTTAAAGAAATAATAAAATTTTTTATGATTTTAATTAAATATTTTATCTCGATATTATAAAGAGCAATAAAATAACTATTAGATCTTATCAACATCTAAAAGTTAAAACTTCGTAAAATTATATATGTAATACTACTAAATATTATATAATTTTATCAACATCTAATATGCTAATTAAAAAAACCCATTGTAATAGATAAATGGAGAAAATTCTCAAAATGAATTTAATTTAATTTAAGCTATTATAAAATTTTAATATACAAAAAAATATTTATTAAAAATGATAAATTTAAAATTTATAAAAAAAACTATATTAATTTTTTTGTCTTTAATTTAATGAGGATCTCATAAGATATTATCTTTTTCTACGATAAAAGTAATAAAAATAAAATTTTTTATTAATTTTAATATTTATGATTTTTTTAATAATACATGTTTTCATTATATTTATTTATAAATAATTTTAACAAATTTTTTTTTTTATAAATTTTCATAAAATTTCACTCTAATACTCTCGAAAATACATTTTCAAATAGTGTTATGAATTCTTGAAAATTACTTCTTGAAAATGCATTCTAAAATTAATAAAATTTATGAGAAAGATATTTAAATAATTTTATTTATAAAATTTTTTTAAAAAAAAGTTGAGGTGTATAAAGAAAGAAGAATTCTATTTGCACCCTAAGAACTATTGAATATACTCTAAAAATTTTATTACAAATTTAACTTTTAATGAAATTATTAAAATATCCATTAGTTAATTATCCTTTTCCCCTTCGCACACCTTTCTTCTTCTTTTCTCTCTTCTCATCCTTGACAAACATGAGCTTTATTCTCTTATTCTTTCCAATAACAAGTCATATTGTTGCTAAAATTTACAACTAAAATTTGTATTATCTTATATACTATCAAAATTAAAAGTGAACTTGAGAGAAACAACTATGACACCGAAGTGTCTGCATATCATATAACTTGAGCTGAGACTAATGCAGACTTATCCAAAAATAATATAGGCCTATCCTTGGTCCAAATTCACACATAAATAAGGTGGGTTGAAATAAGAAGATTGTGTTCACACTAATTGAAAAAAAAGATCATAAATCTGAATAGGATTGTGGTCAGGTTCAAGAGTAAATGGACAGATTATGTTCACATACAAATCTCATGATTTTAAGCATGATTCTAGCAATGCAATCTAAAATGTTTTTATGCTTGGAGGGATGTTTTTAGCCTATAATATTTTTTATTATTTTTTGGTAAAAGGCATAATAGAGTTTTATTTATCCTTAGGTAATATTTTTTATTGTTCTTCAAATTCTGTATCTCTTAGGTAAATTTTTTAAAGTAGTGAACTTTTATTATTTTGTATCCTTGATTAGAATTCTTATGATGAAGTTTTTGTATCCCTTCGTTTTTAGTTTTGGTGGTGAACTTCAATTTTTAGGCATCAAATTAGTATCAAAGCTATGGCAGGCCATCGTCGTCAAACACCAACAGAAAATGTTGAAGTCAACACCAACGTTGTAGCAACTACCAATGTTGACCCCAATGGATGCCCTTATAGAAGAGATGCGATAACAGATCATTCAACTACAATATCAACTGCATATACAAGAAGAAAGAGAGGAGATAAAAAGACAACGAAAGAGAAACAAAAAAGATAAAGGAGAAACCAATCCATTCCATGAAAATAATAGTGATTCTAATTATAGCACCTTATTTCACCCACGGTAAGTTAGAGACTATCTATGCAAAAACTAACTTCAACCTAGCATATTCAATCTAAAGATAAAAAATTTTTAGTTCAAGGGAAAAATGCAACCAGAAGAATTTTTAGATTGACTACATACAGTAGAACGCATATTTGAATACCATGATGCCCTTAAACATCGTAAGGTTAAGCTAGTAGCCATCAAACTCAAAAAGCATGCATTCTTTTGGTGAGAAAATCTGAAGAAGCAAAGGGAAAGAAAAGGCAAAAAAAAATTGTAACTTAAGAGAAGATGAAAAGAGAGTTAAAGAAAAAGTATCTCTCAGATAACTTTCGATAAGATGTCTTTCTTAGGCTTCATAACTTGAAGCAAAGAGATCTCTTAGTGAATGAGTATACGGTTGAGTTTGACCATATCATGTTAAAGTATGATTGGTGAAACAGAGGGAGTAAACTATTACCTGGTATTTTGAATGATTAAATATTGAGATAGCTAATGTGATGTCGTTATAACCTTATTAGACTTTCAATGATGTATGTAAGATTGCTCTTAAGGTGGAGAGACAACAAAAAGAGGCTTATGATAGTAGCTCAAGATTTGGGTCCAGAGAAAGCTATATATCAATAAAGGTGACTCATCTAAAACTATTGTTTCTTTTAAGCCCAATCCAAAGTAACCCAAAAGAAGAATAGAACCTCAATAAGCAAGCCTTAATCTAGTGCACAAATAAGAAGGTGTTTTAAATGTCAATTGCTTGGACACATTACTTCAAAATGTCCAAACAAGAATATTGTGACTCTAGTAGAGGAAAACTTTAAGAAAAATAAAGAGGAGTTGGCTAAAGAGGATCAGAACCTTAAAAAGGAAAAAGAGGTAACCTATGGTGATTGTGGAGCATCCTTAGTCATATAATGTAGCTTGAGTACTGCACCTGCTAAGAAAGAAGATTGGTTGCGTAAAAACTTGTTCCACACTCAATGTATTACCCATGAAAAGGTATGTGATGTTATAATTGATAGTAAAAATTTTAAAAACGTTGTTTCTACTTTGTGGTGCAAAAATTATACCTTAAAGCAGTGGATTACCCCAAACCAGATAAGTTATCTTGGCTACAGAAAAAAAATAAAATCAAGGTTAGTAAGAAGTATTTAGTTTCTTTTTTCAATAATAAAGTAATACAAAGATGAAATGTGGTGTAATGTAGCTCTAATGGATGCTTGTCATTTATTGCTCGAAAAACCTTGGTATTATGACAAAAGGTTATTTATAATGGTTACCACAATACTTATACATTTATGAATAATGGATGCAAAATCATCATAGGCCTACAAAGCCCATGATGATGTCAAACCAACCAAAAGAAAATGAAACAGTTTGTTTTACCATGGCCATTACAAAAAAAATTAAGATAGATGCTACTATGTATGCTTTGGTATTGATTGAGAAGAATAAAGATAGTGAAAAGTCTCGTGCAGTGATACAACCATTAGTGGCAGAATTTTATGATGTTGTTCAAAAAGAGTTATCAGCTAGTCTACCACCAATGAGGGACATTCAACAGTGCATAGACCTTATCTTAGGAGTTATTTTACCTAATAAGGTAACCTATAGGAATGAGTCCTAAAAAGCATGCAGAGTTACAACGCCAAGTTGATGAATTGATGAGAAAAGAATGGTACGTAAAAGCATGAGCCCTTGTGCAATTTCAACCTTTTTTATGCCTAAGAAAGATGGATCGTGATGCATATGTGTGGATAGTAAGGTAATTAACAAAATCACAGTTGATTATCATTTTCTATTTCGCGCTAGATGATTTATTGGACTAACTACATGAAACAACTATTTTTTTCAAAGATAGACCTACGCAATTGGTATCATCAATCAGAATGAGACCTAGAGATGAGTGAAAAATAGCCTTCAAGATAAATGATGGGCTCTATGAATTGATGGTAATGCCTTTTGATTTATCCAATGCTCTTAGTACTTTCATGAGATTTATGAATCATATTCTTGAACCTTATATTAGCAGATTTGTAATAGTTTATTTTGATGATATTCTGGTATACCAGGCAAGGATGAGGACCAACACATGAATCATTTACACCAATGTTTTGCATATTAAGATAACAAAAACTTTGTGCTAACTTTAAAAAGTACAGTTTCTTTACTTTCAGCCTTGTGTTTTTAGGGTTTGTGGTGTCAAAAAAAAAGAATAAAGATGGATCCCAGCAAGGTTGAGGTAATTTTAAATTGGCCAACACCAGCATCTCTGCATGATATCCGTTTTCATGACCTTACATCTTTTTATAGGCACTTCATTAGGAGTTTTAGCTTAATTGTGGCTCTCATCATTAAATGCTTGAAGAATGAAGATTTTAAGTGGACAAAAAAGCCCCAAACAACTTTGAAAGCTCATCAAGACCAAGGATCACTAAAGCTCCTTATCTTGTCCCTACTAGATTTTGATCAAAGTGTTCGAGATGAAATATGATTGCATTCAATTCTGAAATAGGTGCTAATTTTAAGGTCAAAGGAGAAAACTTATAGCATTTTTCAGTGAGAAAGCTTAATGATGTAGGAGAAAGTATTCAACCTATGACAAAGAGTTCTATGCCATATATAAAGCATTATTCCATTAGAGTCAGTATCTCTTTCTCAAGCCATTTGTCCTATATTCAGATCATGAGGCCTTGAGTTTATTAATAGCTAATACAAGCTCAACCGAAGCATACAGCTTGGGTAGAGTTGCTTCAAGCTTCAACTTCATTATTAAACATAAATCGAGAAACTCAAAATGTGGTGATAGATGCTTTGTATCGAAAGTACTCCTTATTAAAGACTATGGCTGTTGAAGTTCTTATATTTGATATGATTAAAGGGCTCTATGAGACAGATCCTTACTTTTGATCGAATTTGAAAAAATACAAGCAAAGATCACAATCGATTTTGTTACATGATGGATATCTCTTTAAGGCTAATAGCCTTTGCATTCGCTCATGTTTTTAAGATAGGCCTTAATCAATAAGGCTCATGATAG